TAAAAATGTATAGGATGCTATCATGCCTTTTGGTGCGCTCTTAATTTGCAGAGAAACTGGAACAGCATACGGGAATACAGCACCGGTTAGCTCGCTCCCTGGGAAACGACGGGTCATTGTGTGTTCCATTATCGATATCTCAGGCTTAACACTGCACTGATAAGCTCAATTCCTCCGCACCATTTCTAACAATACATGAGTCCAAATCCCGAGAAAGAAGAAAAGAACTGCAAGACTAAGTTCTTAAAAAATGAAGACCTACTAGCAAATGAAACAAAATCGGAACAGTTATCAGAGTAGTGCATACAAGGTATTCAGAAACGGCAGCAATGAATATCAACTTCTTCTTATTCGTAGGGCCAAACTTGTTCTTCAAGTTTAATGAATACATCTCCACTCTCCAAAAACAAAATACAATCAGTTCGCTTATGTCTAATGAGATGAACTCCTTCACCCACTCTTATCCCTTTCCCCATCACCCTGTGAATCTCAGGACTGAGAGTCCTCTCACTGAGGGTACCAGGAGGCCCACTGTCTGAAATGACAGGGCAGTGCTAGTAGCCATTCCGCTGCATGATCAGCAGAAACCCGCTTGTTCATGATAAGCGTCACAGCTGTGGTACCAGGAGCCTGTCCCAAAGCACAGGGTTCGAGATGGGATTATAGCAGGAGACGCACACGCAAAGACGATTAAGAACACCTGAGGGGGAAGGTGGGTACAAGCTGGAGCCCGCAGGGGAAGCACAAACAATGAAGAGCATGCACACTGCACACAGAAGGACTGCAGTTCCAGAAGAGAAAAATTAAAACCCCTTTGGATGCCTTTGCTACTCTCCTCTCCCTGCCTGTGGGAGCAAAAAAGCAGCTGTAATAATCAGTACAATCTTACCACTTGATTATCTGTAAATTATACGGCCCTTCTTAAGAGATTGCTTTCAAAATAAATACTTAACATTATGAGCCAACTGTATATTTTCTTAATTTCATACACTGGATTTACAGGTCAGGGTGTTAAAAATGTCACCTGAAATGGAATTAATGTTAAATTTAAGACTACATTTTTGTCAAATTTAATGTAATAATGTTAATGTTGCTTTATTAGCCCTATACAGTTTCTTGCATTAGGAATTTGTCTTTTCACAGACCCCAGCTTGCTCTCCATGAGACACACAGAAAGGGAGAGAAGCTTGGGGTCAGAGCACAGGGTCTGCCATCGTACGGCGCCCCTGGAGCAGTTGGAGTTAAGGGCCTTGCTCAGGGGCCCAACGGAGGAGGATTCCTCTGCCAGCTGCAGGATTTGAACCAGCAACCTTCCAGTCACAGGCACAGATGCGTAGCCACAGATTCACCGCTCCGCCCATTGAATATTGAATATTATCATACAGCACAACAAATCTGAATAGTTGGTTTAATAAAATACTATTTCTCCATTAATATGTGACACTCACCAGGAAAATAGGACACGGATAATCAATTTTCCTTTAATGAGTTACAGTTTCTCCCTCCCTTATCAGTTCAGCTTTCAACTTCATGTGAGATAAGACTACAGAGTAGGGCCATTTAAGGACATTTAAAAAACTCCTCAGATCGTTCAGCAATAATATGAAGTAATTTTCCCTCTACAATCCCTGGAAACCCCTAGAAACCCTGTACTGACTTGATCAGCATATTTTCTGGTTCGAAAGATTGCCTCCATTATGGGTCAGCGAGTTTCATGCATTCTAAATCATTGTATGCATGTGCACTCAGTACATTAAATATTGAAATATGTTTCCACATCTCATTCTAATATACAGTATAACTACAAACAGTGTCACAGTGTGCAACGGTTAAATATTATTTTTTTGTAATTTTTCTTTTTAACAGCAACTTTACCAGCTCCTGGTCAGATCCAAGTATTTCACATCAGGCAGGTCACCTCCTGTAAGTGTTCTCGTATTATCTGGGTTTACAATTACAATTGTGTTCACAAGTTCTTCAGAAAATACCCAGGCATGGTTACAACCTGCTTTCAACTTGTTTCGCTCTGTTCTTGTATGAATCAAGTACAGTATGTATTTTCATTGGATGTGTATTTACGGAAGTGTAGTTAATAATTCCCTCCCTTTATTTGGAATCCCAAACCCAAATTTTATTTACATGTGGGAAGAGATCACAGTGTAGTGCAGAAGATACTTTCTCCTGCAGTGCCAAGGGATCTTCAATGGCGGAGTAGTCAGGGCCTTGGTTTAATGTGTCTGAGAAACAGCACTTCCCACTGAGGCAAACCTGGACATTGTAGGGTCCAGGGAAAAGAGCTCCACCCACTGGTTCACTAGCGCCTCTTGCAACAGCAACCTGGTTTTCCTCAGAGCTCTCGGGTCCGGCCCTTCCTGAGCTCCGGCAGATACCTGGCAGGTGTAGGCTCGAAGGTGGTGCTGTAATCGGCTCTCACATGCAGGCCAGGGTGATTGTCGAGGAGGGTTAATGAGGACAATACGCCACATTCATAGGAGGGCCGAGCATGTGTTGCCTCAGGAGATACTGGGTTGTGTGATGTGCAACCTAGTCACTGCTCATCCTAATTTATAGCAAAAACCTAGCAAACTACTAGTAGACTAGTAAACTACTGAATAATTACTGGAAATGTAAAAGGACATAATTCAAGGCACCAGTC